TGTGTGTGTGTGTGTGAATGCATGCCGATAGGTGATAGTTCACATATGATCAAAGTCAATCAGGAAGAGAGGCATGTGGAGATATGTGTGCTCACTTTATTGTCTTAGACAATAATCAAGCTACGTTAGCATCGTTAGTTGGAGTTGTGTGTGTGTGTGTGTGTGTGTGTGTGTGTGTGTGTGTGTTGTAAGAACCAGCCCTCCCCATCCCCCGCCGCCACACACACATTTATGAGGTGTAACACAGTGTGGAAAAAGAAAATCGGTCTCACGAAAACAGCATGAGAACAGGTGAGCACGAGTGAAGGAGAGTTAAAAAATACGCGAAAATAGTGAATTAAAAAAATCCTGATGTGGAGTAGAAGTGAAACGATCAAATTCAAACCAATAAGTTACCGACAATAAACACCAGTGTTCCATTGAGATGGCGCTGAAAACATTTATTTTTTTAGCTAATACTCGGAATTGGTGAATATTCTACCCATATACTGCAATGATGGCAAGAATCAACCCACACCGACTCATCAGATCAGTTAATTCTTTTTCGGGAGTTTTATTTTTCTAGTCAGATTCCCCGCGGTTGGATGGAACGCATCAAGCAATGCGAAGGGAAGGAAATAGAGAACGGAGTGTGCATGTGTGAATGAGTAACGGAACAGGTTTTAAAAAGGATTGGTCACGTATGTAATAGATGATAAGTTATACATGTGTACTTTATGATAAAGCTATCTCTCTCTCTCTCTCTCTCTCTGCAAATTGGTCTTCACAGTGGTTTTCTCCAACTGATCGCATGATCGATCTGTGCAGTGAGTTTATGCTCCATGATGAAGGAATTTGATTGCGATTCTCCCGCAGCTGCTTGTTCGGATCACCGTTTAGCCGGATCATGATTTAGTCATATGTATGCGGGTAGGTAAGGAAACGATTACATCGAAATTTTCAACGGAGTCGTTCCGATCACTTCGAGTTCGATTCTAGCGGTGAACTGCCTGCCATACACGGTGACCGAATTTCGGAATCAACCGCAACAACAAGATGACACCGGAACAGCGGGCACTGTGGGGGACTAGTTCAACGATTACATCCATATTCGAGGACAGAGTAAGACCGAGAGATTAGACAGGGAGTGTTAAGTAGTCATCAAAACAAGTGCTTGATCTTCATGGAGGTGTGCTATGCAGGTCATCGTTGTGCAATGTTTACAGAAACATGAAGGTGTTGGGGAACGGACAGAGGCGACCAGACTATAGTCTGGTCAGTCGTGTTACGCCCAACGCACGGTTGGAAATTTGAGGGCTTGCCTAATCAACGGTTCAGAATTGAATGCTACGGTTGAGTTTCGTAACGAGTGGCCGTGATACATCCAAGAACTTTCTTTACCAAATTAGTCTGACTGCTTCCGGCTTTCCACCTCTTCTATCTGTGTTCCTACGTCCAAATAGGCATCTAGAAGACAGAAGGTGAAACAACCAGGTGACATAGTGCAAGGCTAGTGGTTATACCAACGGAGAAAAAAAATATTAAAAAACTATTTTGACATCGTATTTGACAAAACTTTTTACGTGCAACGACATGCTAATTTTTCACACATTTCCTAACGAAGTTTGCCTTGTTGCATTGAAAATAAACGTATTTTACTATCTTGTATTGACAAAGTTAGATGGGAAACATGAACTGTCCCCTTAATTTCGGCTCGCGCCATTTGTATTTTTACACGCTTGTCTGATTGCACCCTGTACAATACCTAAGAAATCAGTCCACGGTTTACTCAAGAGGAAAATAATAGGCCTGTGTGATTGACACCTGTTTCATATACTGACAGCGCTCTCTAATTTTCCATTCCTCTTAATTCCTCCATAGATTGACTAAACTGTCAGGCAACCAAAACTAGACACACGGAAATGTCGGTGATGCAATGTGTAAAAAGAACTCAATTCAAAAACATCATATTCTGCGAGCTGAGGCCAATCAATTTTTTCAAATTATTAAACAGTCTCGTGTGCAGACGGGGTAAACCCTATAGTCACGAAGACCTGCTGTTCATTTATGGAAATGAGTAATCCAAGCGGTGAACCACACAAGGCCCCATTAGGTTAGGCGCGGTATTGAACCGGACGACGACAAAGCTGTCTACCACCAAAGTCGGGTGCCGGTGGCGGGGCTCGAACCTCGGACCATAGGGTTTCAAAGTACGCAGTGACAGTGACCAAACCACTGTGCACCACCACCGCACAGTAAATAGCAAGGTAACACCAGTTATAGGATACCAGATAACATCGATAGTGTACTCGAGTTTTTTAATCTGGATGCGTTCAGCAAGAGAGAAAATGGGCGAGTCAGCAGCACACGTGACATAACAGATTAACTTCTTTTTAGCAACACGGAACAATAGTTGAGCATTTGATCTTATGCTACACGAACCGGTAAAATGATTGTCGTTTGAAAGATGACTATTAAGAGAGAACACACAGTGAGGTAATAACACGGTGTAATCCATTGTGATCATAGTTAGAAGCGATGCTACGATCCGTCCAATCATAACGATTCAATTTTCCTGCTCCAATGAATGGAGTAGGGTGCATAGGATACAGGTAACTACCGTGTGTTAGAAGCTTCGATAACGGTTTTTCCACTCGATGTACTTTTGCATAGAAAAGTTCATAAAATTCTTTGACGCATGTTCGAGGTTTTGAAACACACGCAACAATAATTGCATCACACGTAACACGCAGTTTGTACGGGAATCTCAAAGCCCAAACAAGGGGGATTGATTGAAGTTCAAATGTATGAACACTGTGGCACAGTTTATCCTGTCTACCCTAGCTCCAGTCAACCTCTTTTGGTGGTCTAACATTTAGTGTTTTATAAGTATGATTGTAAAACTCTGAGAAGGTCTAGTGTATCAATCAGCATTTTCATCTCAGGTTGCTGGAACAAATGAAGATCGAGTCAGCAAATCATCATGCTGAGAAAAATCAGAACGGTTCGATGATCCCAACTACATTCACAGATTTAAGGGATAGTTCAAGGAACGCGATTTTCACCGATTTTTGCTGAGGTGTATATATAGGTATGTGCGTCAGTGACAGGGTAGCAGGGATTGTTTATCAGGAAACAAACGTCATCGGATCACCTGCAGGGTCTGGTCTCAGGGCCTCGCATCAGTTACTGGATACGAACCGAGCTATTGCTAACCAGTGAACCTATAAAGGGGTCCAAGTTCCAGTTTCACAGGTGACAGCCGGTACTCACTTTTTCTCCTCTTCCGCCCACCCACCAATTCCAGTGCGACCGATTAGTCAAATAAGCCGAACCTCATGTCCTCCCACGTATTTACATGTGGGCAGCTATGCGTGTGTGTGTGTGTGTGTGTGTGTGTGTGTGTGTGTGGTCGATTGCTGACTCGAAGCGGCAGTCAATTAATCAATGCCACGTGTGTGTCAAACACCGGTCGTAGCGATGAGGATAGAAAATGTCAAGATTCACACTGATTTATCATGCCAGGATCATGAAAAATAACTCCAACTCTGCCACATTAAACACGTTGAATCTTTGTTAGTCCCAGGATCCTCCCAACCCTGCAGATCTCGAGTTTGTTTGCACAGATCAAAAGGGAGGTGGAAAAGTTCGAGGCCGGAAGACATTCTTCCATCAACTTGATCGCTGCTCCTCCTCCTCCTCCTCCTCCTCGAAGCCAGTACCATCACCACTACCCTCCACTCTTATTGTGGTTCAGCTCAATCTGAATGGTCGTTGAACCGGATCCTGCACAACCCACCAACGAAAAAAGTGACCGAACACAGAAGGGCATCATCATCATCATCATCATCATCATCATCATCATCATTCTGTGTACCTGTCAAGGCATTAATTAATGACACCACGTCAGTTAGTGATCGTCGCGGCTGGTTAAAACTATTTGGGTGAATAGATAGTTGTGATAATCGACAAGAAAAAGATACCCCCCCCCCACAGGTATTCTTTCCACATTCGTCTAGGATACACAAACGCAAATGACGTTGGTTGCGAACTACAGTTAGATTGAGATGATCGTTTGGTATGATTGTGGATCAGACAGACTGGGAGGTTCGGTCGTTTTTTGTGTTCTGATCTGCGTTCAGTTCAGGTGTTACTTATAGCACCTTCTNTCAGATGAAATTCAATCCATACTGTGGGTTTGGGAAGCCCACAGTGTATGCGTGATGTGTCCGGACGTGGTGGCCGAGTGAAAAATGCATTGGAATACAACTGGGCAACTAGTATGAACAAGTACAAATTTAACCCGGTTTCAACGGTTTTTATCTAGTACCCGCTCAACAGGAATAAGCAAGTGCAAATAGTCGTTCGTGGATAAGCGGGGGGGGGGGATTGAAAAGTTGTATCGCTGTTTCAACTCTGTTAGCTAATATATGTTCGTAGTTTCAGTCGATCGGCGGTTCGGAAGACAAAACTCAATAGTCTAGTCCGGAATGTATCCGATCAGGTTTCACACCTTGGATGGGCGAAATTCATTCAGGGAGAAATAATCTTGCAAAACAGAAAAAGTGAGACTGTTTGAAAAAATACCGGACAACCGAAAGAGAAGAATACATCTGTACACTGTCGGTTTCGATTCCCGGTGGGATACATGAGTGTATACTACTGTTGAGAGTGAACAGTGCTGACGTAACTGGTCAATGCCATCCAATTTTTTAGTTTACATTTAAATTTTCTTTTCTTACGACCTATTTCATTCAGGATTCAATTCAAATCCTTCAGCAATTCAGTACCCGATGAGTGATTTTTAAGTGGTAGAATTAGCAATTACTGTCTCCAGAATAATTCAACATATGAACTATTTGATGTGATTCTCATGCCCTCTTCTAATCCGATATAATCCTCACCAATATGCATCGGAGCTTACGAATGCAATATCGATTTTGACAGTATGATTTGCTGAAGATCACGGCACCGTACATTTCTCTGTTGTACACTTGAAATCAACCGGAAGGAAGACATTTTCACTTAATATGACTAAAAAACGGAAAGAGTACATTAACAATCTTACCTCTGTTTGTGCAAGATGTTGCATCCAGTTGTAAATACAACTGACTCCCAATCAACTTGTTCTGGTTGGCTCCTGCGGGTGCGCTTTCATTGGGGGCATCTCTGCGTGATCTGGAGCTGCGCCTCCTCGCCTGATCCTCCGGAACCGACCGGTCATTTTGTACTTTTAAGTCAAGTAATGGAACCCCGTAGACCATCCACCGGTCACCTGTATCCCCTTGACGTTTCACACTGACATTCAAATGAAGCAACTGGCTCAAACCGGATAATAGTTGGTTCAACTGCCCGGTCGCTGAGGCCAGTAGTTCGTCGGGACTGATACGAATGAGCAGGACAAGCTCACCATTCAAAATAGTAATAGACTTGGTGGTTGTGCCGGATTTCGCTGAACAGGATCCCGCTCCGTTCGAATCATTTCCACATGCAGAGGATGACTTTGGAATACTGATGTTGCATTTCGTAAGGCAATCATCTTCTGAGGAGTTTGGTCCACAATAGGATGGGCAGCGCATCTAGAATAAGAAGAAATAATGAGGGTATTATTGACTTCGTGTGTACAGTGACCACGAGGTCGCTGAATTAGTGTGTTGTGAGTGTTGTATTTCTGGAGTTGACTGTCCTACCACACAGTGGATTGCACCGTTTGAGTCAGTCAGTTGTCAATCACACCATCACGTCTTTCTCTCCCTACATTTGTCTGTGTGTGTGTATTTGTGTGTAGTTACTCAGCTATTCCGAACTGTGTCCTATTTTGATCAGAATCCCAGTGGGAACGAAACAAGTTATGCCTTCTGCGTAATTGCCAATTAGTAACCCTGTCTCTCTAACTCGCTCTCTGCTCGAACCTATTACTGACCTCTTTACCAGTGGTACATAACAATCCTTTATCTAGGGTGAAAACTGTCAAATTTCTTGGTGTAACCATAGATAGCAGTCTTGGTTGGTCAACCCACATCCACAACTGCATGAGCAAACTACGTCGACTATCATTTCAAATTCGAAAGCTCAGGCAGTTTTGCGCATCCTAATCAATTATTTTACCTTTGTCTATCAGTGTGCTCTCCCCATCTTACTCTTCTGTTCCCCAATCATTTTTCCTGGTTTACTCAAACAGGATCTTAAAGTCTCACGCCGCGGTCTAACTGTTATTATCCGCGTCTCTTCTACTTCTGTGAATGAGTTGGTTGTAAAGTTTTCAGAGTATCATATAACTTGCTGTGTGAAATTTGCGGTGAGGATTCTTGCAGATCCTGACCACCCATTGTACGCAGACCTCACAAGTTGTCGTTCCCATCATTCAACATGTTCCCAGTTCCACCAAATTTCATCTGGAATTGACGCTTACCGAAATCCACCGATATCCTATCTTGCAAGTTTACTCACAAACAAAGAGAGAGCACATTTTTGTGAACCAAGATTCATCATTCAATCAAACTGTTGAATACTTTAATTACTTTCCCTCTTTTTTCCTTGTAAATCCTTCTCTGTTACTAGTCATATTCTTGTGTTTTAATGGCATGATTAATACACACTGAAAACGAGCTTGTTTGCCAATTTGTGTTCTCAAAGAGAGAGCACTAAGTGAACTTGGTCTTAATCGTCCCCATGTCTGTAACAATTTTCTTTCTGTTGAATAGGTACTTCATGACGGTTGGCGTGCATGATTTTTTAACTGAAATGTGAACTCATGTGCTTGCAAAAGTTATGCACAATACATAATTCATGATTCTTTCACATGCACTCGACCGAGATTTACGCAGTCCTGTGCATTTGTAAAATCGTGATCAATTTTCGTTCACTCACGGCCNGCCGTTTGCTACCCATAACTGTTAATACTAAAGGAACCGCCAATCGCATCATCCTCAAATTGCCGATAAGAACAAATATGACCGTCTTTCATTAGTAATATGGAGACTTAATATCATATGCAATGATGTATATGGCTCGATAATAATGTGATGAACAGTGGTTTGGGCATTTCCTTGCCCTCGGGAACTTTCCACTCTCGTCCCTGAAGATGTCACTTCAGCAAACAAACACGGGGAGGAGTAGTTTACCGTTCGAAAAAATCCCCGTAGAAGCGGGTTGCCTGTGGTTTCCTTCCCAAGGTGAGANTCCGCCCGTCTAAATGGGTGCATGAAGTTAAGGTCTGATTCCGAACATTGGACTGATCAACACACTGAACTACCTGACAGGTCTCTAGAAGGTAGCACAAGGGTGCTTCAGTCACACTCCCACGTTGGATCCACACCCCCATCGCATTACAGGTAAAATTTTTGAGTCAAAGGTTTCAGTTAGAGTGCTTAAAGAAATAAACTGTTCATCGGTGTGAGCTACCAAGAAGTATACCGTACTCTAAAGTCTCGGCACCTATTTGGAAAACTCTCTCGTCCCTCTCTTCTGTCTAGCTCTTCCTCGCATTCCTTAATCCTACAAGATGTCTTCTACTTCTGCGATTCAGCGTTCAGGTGGTAAGGTCAACCAACCCAAAGTTGTTGGATTGTGAAAACCAAAATCTGTTCACGCAGCTGCATTTTGTATCTGCACATTTTACCAGATTGGTTAACAAGCTACCTTAGCTAGAGCCCTTGAGAGTTTCAATTCAGACGTGTGACGTTAGCCCGAAACAGGCATACAAGACCCCACTTCAATCATCAACTTGCATTCGCCAGATCCCACCTCACTCTCACGCCACAATCTTCGTGCGTCGGGCAGTTCGGTGCTCGCTGTGTTGCTGGTATTGCGCTTAGTTTCAAAGCTGAGCGTTCACTTCTTGGCTGACTTCCGGTTAGCAGACGACTGTGTGCTGTACGTCCCGACGGCGCAGTACGAGTCAACAACCGCAGAACAAAATTTGGGTGCCCATTCGTCGTGATCGTATGTGAATCAACTGATTGCCGTTCGCCTGAAATCAGGGATGAATTCTACAAGGACATCTTTCAACTAGTTCGAAGTGCTCATCGGACATCTATGTAGTCACTTGAGATTTCAATACTCATGTAGGATCCCTGGATGAAGCAGAAAGGTGCCTAGATATAGACCTCCGAATTCCTGTATCATCTAAGCAAATACTGCTGACATTCCTCCTGTGTCTGAAACTGAGGTTTCCCGGGAAATAATTTATCTTAGAAGATATATGGCATCAAGGTTGGATGGTCTGTTACCGTCTGCTTTAAACCAAGCAGGTTCGGTCTCGATTACTAATCATCAAGTTGAGAAATCTGTGGTGCCGCCGTGACATCCGGTTGTTTGTAAAGGATCGTGTGTGCGCTGCATCAGTGTAGCCAGTTTTTCTAAATGGCACAGAGACTGCCATTACAAAATAAGATAAAAATAGATTGTCGCTGTTCGAAAACCGCTGTCTGGTCTCACTGCACTGGTCTGGTGAAGAAATCAGACGAGCAATGCTGAGTTTGGGCGTAGAGTTTTAATTAATCGCAGTCGTCCACTGGAACTCCGCTGATTCGGTTGTGTTACGTGCGCCATTAAAATGGGTCGGCACGGCGCGCAATGTTTTCCGAAGCAGATATTGGATGGAAACACTCAGTTGGTGGTAGACTGGTCAATCTAAGTTTACCGGGTAAAACCATCCTAGATGGATTGGTGAGCACCACAATAAAGCTGGAGATTGCTATCCGATCACATTCAGTTCAGTGGCAGTTACTTTTTACAATCATGAACCTCTGTACGGCGGTTTTGGTTGCTGTCTTCAGGCTGCCATCTGGTTAAAAGAGCACAAGGAAGGTTGAGAGCAAAGTGAAAGGGAAGATTGGTCATTCATTGTGACTGGGGTTGTAAAAATAATGAGTACGTGCACGAGCGCTACTCAGTCATATCATTCAGTGTCTCTAACCGTGGATTGTATTGATCCGGATGTCCCCATTCAGGAAGAACGTGGTCAGGGTTTTCATGCCCTCACATCAGGTCTGAATGTGACCACCCATTATTTTTTTCCATCCAACTCCTGCTCTGACAAACAGCAAACGTCGTAACAATCTATTTGGTGACATGCGCAACACATGCCCTGATTTTAAACAATACTCTATCATCATTATTATTATCATCATCATCATCATCCACTCAGACAACATTTTCAATGTATGGTGTTGTGCTTGCTTTCACTCTCATCCGCAAGGTCAAAATTAAATAAGGTGAGTGGAAAACAAACAGCAGAACTAGTACTTCAGTGTCCATGAGAGCATTTTTGCTATCAGGTAGGTCAGTTAAGCAACTGAATTAAAATGAGAGTAGAGGGAGAGAGAAAGAGAGGGAGAGCACCCAGACAACAATACTCCCTAATTTGATACGATTTCGAAAACAGAGAATATACCGTGACAACTCCCTGTCCCCTCACATGAACACGATCGGATTGCTGGTTGCTTACATTACTGACAGTCAAACAAAAACATTTGTCTGATCGAAAGAAATGAGTGCATCTGACTTGATTAATGTGGGCTTCGTTTATCGTGAGAGGAATCAATGAAGTGATAATCAAAATTGACCGATTACACACCGTGATTTCCTTCTGGTAATCACAGTGAAACTGGGTTTAGTTTGACAAACTAAAAAAGATCTCGTTATCATGTCGCCGCGTTGCTAATGTCTTGCAAGCCGTCAATAATCCAATCAGGCAACCAAACGTACTAGGCTGTTTGACGGGTGCAATCTCTAAATTGGCAATGCAATCCCGCTCGTTTTGTTCTTATATAAGCTCACACTTACGTATTTCTTTGTGGACGCCCCCTAGTTCATCCCACCCCCGCTCCTGATGAATATACACCTATTCAGATGATGCTGTTATTTTTGGCATCAAGTAGCCCCGGGAGATACACGAATTGGCAGAAAAGCAAATCATCCCTCGGAAAAAGGCAATCAGTTTTAGTGTGAAGAGTGCTTCTGCTACTGATGATGGTGAACGAGTGAGCGAGTGAGATGGCATACGTCAAGACGGGTGCTTTTCAAGGTGATTTACTGCACACGCAACTGGTCTGGCAGCCGTCGATCTGATAGTAACAAATTTGCCTCTCGACCGACCGATCGGCCAACCGGGGGGAAGCAGGACGGGGGAGAAAGGATAGAAGATAGATCTGGCCAAAATTTCGCGCTGTTTAAGTGGGTCTCTCAGAAAGAACCGACACCGTAACGATATCCGACTAACTCCGTAGTAATCTATCCT